AGTTAGGGATTCAAAGGCTGCTGTCACCGGACTGATGTGATGCCATGTGACCCTGTTGCCCATTCACAGGTGCTCTCGGGGGCTGGATCTCAAGAAGGGCAAGGCTAGATCACAGAGTCCCCATAAACACAGTGACTTCCAAAAGAGGGGGGACCGACACCCAGCGCTCGGCTGCCAGCTCGCTGATTTAGTATTCAGAACCAGGATTTATGGAGCCGCCTTCCTCTGTCACATCATCCATCAGTGACAGACACTCAAGAGACGGAAGGGGAAAAAATTAAAAACCTGTTTATTGCTTGACTTGCTCTAGGCATGTTTTAGCTTATTGTTCAGCTCTGCTCATTCCGGTCTGAACAGCTTTCTTCGTTGACGTGGCTAACGTATAAATTCCGTGAATGGGTGGGTAGTTGAATGTACGCCCACAGACATCGATAGCTCAGGCAAAACAGCATGCACCAGAAATGGCCCCACAAAGTCAACTTTTTAACGCTTTGGGTGGGTTGGGGACTTCAGGGTCCGTCTGGGTCCAGCTCTCGTTGCCTGGCATCTTTGAGCTGGGCCAACCTTGGCTGGTGCAGGGTGCTGCACTGCAGTGCTGATTGGGTATGCTGCACTTGTTCCCGGCAATGTCAAGGAGAGTTTGTGGGCAGAATGAGCCCAGAATGCACAACGACGCAATGGCAACAAATAGCAAAGCAGGCAGAGGGGGGTGCAGGGGAGGACGGGGAGCCAGCGGGGGTGACTTGATGACATCGAGTAGTTCAAAAACAGAAGAGGTGAATGCGAAAATGTGTGTCCCGGAAGAAGAATGTGTTATGAACAATACACACCAAGGACTCTGGGATCCTGGTGGAAAGGCACTTGCTACTGTGAGCTGAGCATGGGCTCTGGAGTCAGGTCACCTGCATGGAATTCCCCGCTTCACCATCTCCAGCTGTCAACTTTGAACGGTTACTTAAACATTTTGGTCCTCAGTTTTCCTCATGTCTTCATCCTTGAAATGGGGGCCAATAATGTTTCTGTTCTCCTCAGGATGGCTTGTTAGTGCTTGGAAGTTGGTTCATGCACATTAATTGCTATCATATACTTGCAGTGTGTTGCTGGCAGGATTTGCTTCTGCCTCCTGACTGTGACCCTTCATCAGTTCAGTTGATGCTGCCATCCTGGTTACCTCCCCAAAGCTGGTATAGTAAACCTTCAGTGGTGGGATACCCTGTGATCCCACACACCGTAAGAATGGTTAATACTGCTCCCTATAGGAGATAGTTAACACTGCCCCCTCCCCTGCCCCGCCAGGAGTCAGCCTCTCTGGATCCCTAACATTGAAGGCTTTTGTTTTGTTTTTCACATCTCCATGCTCTATCCCCATTTTGTGTCTTGAGAAGGTCTGAAAGACATGTCCCCACAACCATTTCTGGCGGGATTTTGAAACAGGCCAGGTCTTGAGACAGTCTGAAACAGAGGAATCAGACTCAGGTTCTGCTCGTGTGGGGAAATAGGTGACCCAGGCAAGGTGTTGAAAAGACCACAGACTGTCCATGCATCTGACCTGCCTTTTGAAGGAGGCACAACACCACCCTCCACACACACAGCCTTCAGAGGGACAACGTTTGCCTGAGACTAATTCAGACTCTGAGACTCAGAAAGCGGATGCGCCACTCACCACCTGCATCCACAGAGACCTTTCCAGAAAGAGGGTGTTCACAAACATAGCAAGCACTATCCACCGCATGCGGAAGGTCAACACGAATGATGTAACGGGGAACTACACCACACGGGGACCGGGAAAGCTCCTGCATCATGTGAAGGCAGAATGAATTCCACGGCCTGTGGAATCCGGGCTTCCGAGATCCGTCTGACACAGTCATGGTTTCTGGGGTCGCCAGTGCTCGCCAGCCGAAGCTGTGGGCACAGGAGGTCAGAGGGAAGCCAGCAGTGCTGAGGCCTGTGGCTGAACTCGTCACTGTTTTGTGACAAGAAAAGTTAAATGAGAGAACTGGGCTTCTGACTCAGATGGGTTCAAACCCCTCCGCTGCTTTCGGCTTGGTGACATTTGTTAACCCCTTGGACCTCATCTTCTTAGCTGTAAAATCAGTATAACATTACACAACCCACGGGTTGTTTTGAGAATTGAGTGCAGTGCCCAGTTTGTGTCAGGACTCACGGTGGCAGGAAGTGTCTAAAACCAAGCGGACCCTACGTACTTTACACGACTGAACTCATTTCGTTCTTCCAGCAACCCTTTGAGAAAGGTACTATTATTATCCCCGCTTTTAGGTGAGGAAATTGAGGTGCAGAAAGGTTAACTAACTTGCCCAAGGCCCACCACTCATCAGTGGGACAGCCAGCAGTGGGAAGCAGGCAGCTGGGTTCGGTGCGGATGGGAGGCACTGAGCTGCCCCTGTGGCGACTGCATCCAGCCCTGTGCGCTGATCAGCTTGATCAGCTTAACGAGGAAGTAGTCCAGAATGGCTGCCGCTAAGTCTTGCTGAATAACGTAGATATGTGTATGTATCAAAGAGCGCACATACATGGTTGAGCAAGTAGAGTCTATGTATGAGTTGCTCACCTAACAGCTGTTCTCTCCTCCCTCCTCCTGCTCCTCCTCTTGTGTGAGCCCGTTCACAGGTCAGAGGTCACCCTTAGGTGGTGTTCTTCAGGAGCTTTCCACCTTGGCTTTTGAGACAGCATCTCTTACTTACGAATTAGGCTAGGCTGGCCGGCCAGTGAGCCCCATGGATCTTCCTGTCTGCTTCTTCAGCACTGGGATTACAAGCATGTGCCCATCATGTCTGGCTTTTTGTTCAGGTGCTGGGGGAGCAAGCTCGGATCCTGGTGCTTGCACAACGGACACTTTACCTATTAAGATGGCACACCAGGCCCCAACTAGCCATTTTTTTTCCTTCCTTGATAAGCAAAACCTCGGTTCTATTTGGGGGAGCAATGTAGTGAAACCTGGTTGGTCTAAAGCAACCACGGAAGACCTTCTGCATCCCCCTGCTGCCTTATGCTAGGTACCACTAGATGATCGAGGTAGGAGTCTGAAGGACTACTCCTGGGGAAAGCACCGCTCTCTAAAAAGGAAGCAGTCAGATTCTCCATTGCCTGAGGCATTTCCGCTCACAAAGTTCGTCTTCGAGGAACCTGCAGAGTAAGTTGTCTTCTCTGCTTGTCCTCTTACTGTGCTTGTTTGCGTTGAGAATGGAGAGCATTTGGGCAGAGAAGGACCGGAGCCTGGTGTCCCCCTTGTAGACACACTCACTTCGGCAGACAGGCCAGAGGCACCCCTCTAAAACCAACGTGTAGCTGGATGTATTCGTTCTTCACAGACGATGCAGGTCTGTGTCGGGGCCCATGTGAAGCAGGGAAGACAAATGTGTCTGATGCCACCTGCGCCCTGTTTCTTCCCAACAACAACAAGAAGGGGCCAATCTCTTAAAAAAAAAAAAAAAAGCCATGGAAACCTCCTGTTGACCCCGTGGTTCTCCTCTGTGTCTTCATCTTGTCTCTCTCCCTTGTCAATCATGATGCTTCCTTCTCCTGCTCCTCTGAAGGCCAGGCAGACTAGACCCTGCACACCTGCCTGCCTCTTTAGGCTCAGCTCTTCCTCTGCATGCCACTTTCTGGGCTCCAGCCTTCCCAACGTCCCGGCTGGAATCAGTGCAGGGTGGCCCCCGCCTCTAAGGCTCTCTCAGGTAGAAAAACCAGCAGGAAGAATTCAAGCCGGGGTTAGGTGACTGGGTTCAGGACTCTGTCAAGAGAGCCCTACTGTGAGATTTCTGCAGTTATCCAGAAGAGATGTTGATGGCTAATGGGAAAGCAGGAGGACACTCATCTAGTCATTTAAGCAGCATTTATGGAGCACCGACTGGGTGCCAGGCTCTGGAGATACAGCAGTGCACAAAGCAGCCACAGATCTCTGCCCCATCCATGGAACTTATAATTTTAACCGAGAAACAAAACAAGACAGATGAAGGAGACGTGGGTATGTCAGAGAAAACAAGGGAGCAGCATACTTCTCAGACCCTAAATGAACTGCCAGAGAGCTGCCACGGAGGCCCCTTCATCCCCCACTTGGCTTTCCTGGCAGCCTGCTCTGTCCCCCTTCACCTACTGTAACCTTGTCTCATTCAAAGGCGCCAAGGGCTTTCCCTGTGCTCGGCATCGGCACAGGCACGTGCCGTGCCCAGCATGAGGTTCCTCATGTGTGTGGCAGTCCTCTGCTCTCTGTCGGGAGTTCCTTGTGGATGGGCCAGCAAGCCTAGGCTTCTGCTTCCCACTCTTGCAACGTCACACTCAGCTCTTGTTCGATCTTCAATAAATACTTGTTAATTTGATGGATTGCATGATTCATAAATAAAATTGCAAGTGAAACCTCTAGTTAAAGTCTCTTAAGGAGTTTTTCCAAGGCTCTGATTACTAAACACTCTACAAAGGGGAAAACATCTTTAGAAGCAGAATTAGGGCACTACTCACTCTGCTTCCAGGATAAGAATGCCAAGTATGAACACACCACATTCCCCAGGAAACAGGGATTCAGGGGGCGGGGGGAGACTCTATCCCCAAGTCTACAGATAGACTTTTCCTGGACTCAGTTTTTATTATCCATAAAATGGGATGGGTATCCCCAAAGTCACTTATGGATGTGAGGATCAAGAGGGACATGTCGGAGAGACAGACTTTTTAAGAGATGGACTTCCATGTACTGTAACGGCTCATTTCAGTTGTGCATCCCTGAGTTTCCAGGCAAGGCAGAGGGATCCCTGGCCACAGGGCACATTCCCTCATGCTCATCCGCTCTTCTTGTTTGAAAATGAATCTTTGTGTCACCTGCCGGGCCAGGACGCACCTACCACCAGTGAAAGGGAGAAAGGGTGTCAGGCATGCGCCCTGTGAATCACAGATAGATAGGCCTGCCTGACAGCTTGCCTATTTTTAATTTAATCTCATGCTGCCCTCGTTAGCATCTGGTTATTATTAGACCATAACCACAATAATAAGTACTGCAGTTGTATCTTTTATTCGCAGAGTGCTTTGCAATCGTTTTTATTAGTTTGTTGCAGCTCAGTTGTCCTGGAAACCAATATGCACGCAAACAGGAAGAAAAATGGGGCTGAGGCCAGGGTAACGTGTCTATCAGGCAGCTCCATTTGTCTTTGACCAGCAGGATGCCAGTGTTCCCTTGGGGGCACTTGAAGAAGTTACATGAAAGTAACCCTTCCTTGAGAAGAGAGCATGACCTCCACCAAGGGACTGCTATTCGGTGGGAAGCCCATCACACCCACAGGTGAGCTGCTATTAAACAGCTGGTCAGTGGGAGAGCTAGAGTTTGGGGCACAGAGAGAGCCTGCTCTTTGTCTTGCATCTGGGATGACATCTGAAGAAATCGCCTTGTACATAAGCGAATGTACGACTCTCTCTCTCTGGGAGATCAGTCAATTACAGCAAATTGAGCTATTTCATTTCGGCTTGCAAATGGCTTTCAGTTACACAAGTAGACACATTAATCTAATAACTAATGATCATATATTTCACTAATCATACAGCCCTGCATGTGGTATAATATCTAATTATATTTAATATTAAGACATCTTCACATGTGTGGTTTTACCAACTGTCTAGCTCAGGGAGCCTCGCAGGAGCAGAGTGGCAAAGAGCAGGAACCAGCTCCTAATGGAGGGCAGGAAGGCAGGAAAGTGGGGTGGCAGGCAGGTAGAAGGACTCTGCTTGAAGGGTGTGTGTGTTGGGGGGGGGGAGGGCATCTGTGTTCCTTCAGGACCACAGCTACCTTGCAGGATGCTTTTGTGATAACTGTACTTCCCCAAGTGTCAGAGATGAGCCGACTGGAAGAGGCACCTCTTGCTATCAGCTGATGCATCTGACAGAGAGTTTAGTTGAACCTGTGAGAGCAGAGCACAGCCTAATTTCAGGCTTTCCACATTTTCCCTCAGCCAGCTACTGTCTCTGAAACCCTGGCCACCTCCCTGGATGAGCTGGCTCTCTTAGCCTCCATGTTTTCTGGTGTGATTGTAGACAGCCGCCTGATGATTTTGAACCTCAGTTTTCTCTACTTTAAAATAAGAGGTCTGGCAGGTCGTAGGTCAAAAATAACAGTGAAGAAAAAACAGATGAAAAACTAAATATACTTTGTGAGATTTCTCAAGAGACAGTGGTCAAGATCTTCTGGAATCTCGGGGTTGAATTGGAGAGATGCCCTGGAATGTCTCATCCATCAAATAGGAGTCACCGTTCCACGGGACGACGGAAGAGATGAATTTTGGATGTCGCCATCGTCGCTGTGGCTGTCTTTACCATTTACTCCAACCACAATAGACGGACCTCGGCAGGTTCAATGTCAGCAGCAAGGGTAGAAGTCAGAGGTTTCCTATTAGTGCCCCGCAGCCTGGAGACAGCCGATGAACATGTTTTTTCCTGGTTCCAAAGGTATCTTCAGGGACAGTTTGGGTCACCATTTAAAAAGGGGGTCTTTGTGAAAAAAGTACAGATCTCCCATGGGAAGGGCTACCTGAAGAACCACTGGCACCTGATGGCTGCTGAGGGAAGTAGAGTCAGTTTTCTTCAAGGGTATGGCCCCCTGGTAGGATGCTCATACACCAGTGTATGACCCTATATCCATGCACCTATGGATAGCACTAATTGGGCCCAATGAATTGTAAAAGGTAATAGTAACAAAGAAGAGGACATGGGGATGTAGGAGGGGATACTGGAGAAGTTGGAGGGAGTGGGGATGGCTATGAGCCAAGTGCATTGTATACATGTATAACGCTGGCAGAGAATAGAATATTACAGACCTCCGCATCTTCTGGGAAGATTTAAGATATCTGGTTCAGTGGCAATGGACTGGTACCATGTAGTGAGAACTGGTCTGGCTCGGGAGGAGCTGCCCCCATGAAAGCTGCCTCCTCTTTCTCATACTCCGTAGTCCTTTGCCCTAGACCTGTTTTCCTCACCTTGGTGTAGCTCTGCTGGTCCCTGGCATCTCATGGTTTGTCGTTTCTGTAATCAATGTCTTAAGAGTTCATGAGTCGGAGAGGAAGGGAGACAGCCAGGGAGTCAGTGAGCACTTCAGGCCACTGAAGGCCTGTGCTGGCCTGCTTCCCAAAGGCGTCCAAATGAAAACAACTCAGAGGGATGAGAAATCCAGTTTAGAATTCACAGAAGCAGAAGGAAGAAGAGGAGTGTGCAGCCCACAGGAGCACCTCTTTGAATCTGAGCTCTGTCTGGTGTAGGAAGTCCTTGAAATGTTTTAAGCAAGGAGATGCCATCAGATTTGGAATGGAAATGGAGATTAAGGCCAACATAATGACCATGTGACCTGGGACTCTCCTGAAACACCTCCAAAATGTACCTGGAACCAACTTTTCCTGCTTCTGACTCCACCTCTTCACACACACACACACACACACACACACACACACACACACACACACCCTGCCTCCATGGGGAGGGCTTGAGATGCATGGGGTTCAGAGGAAGGTAGAGCTGACAGGTAAACAAGGAGTCTGCATCCCTCCCTCTGCAGGCTCTGCCTCTTTAATGACACCCCTCCCTAGGGCTTCCTGCAGTGAGGACCAGAAGGCCACCCCTGGGGGCTTCCCTCCTTTGCCAATCAATTCTCCTCAATTACCAACAAATCTAAATGTGATTTATCTGTGCAAGAATCATTCCAATATCAGGCGAGAATCTATCAATAAAACCCCCCAAGGCAATCTTGCTCAGAGTTGTCAATAGACGTTCTAAAGCACAAAGGCAGAACAGCCAGCAATCAGAGCATTTTTGCCCCCCACCCCCCTTTTTGGGGAGCACTTAATTAAGTCCACCAGAAGCTGTCAAAGATAATTTTCAAAGCACATGACCTCAGCAGCTGACATTTGATAATATTACATTCCACGCTGATTGAAATTGATTTTCCCCTCTTTTCGGAGGGATGGAGCGAAGGTGGGTGGGTAAGGTTTCAAAAGAGGGGAAACCTGGATCCCCTTGGCTGTGGAAATCAGCTAAGGCTTGCAGCCTAAGGGGCCAAAGTGATAGACCACTAGGCTTTCCTGCCTTCAGTGAGACCAGGTAGCCATTTCCAGCTGAACATCATCTGTAAGTTGTGTGTGAACCTGAAGGGAAAAGGTGCAGGGAACTGGCATGTAAAGACAGAAGAGGAGCATGGGTAGTGCCCAGTGAAGACGTTTATGGCAGCCAATGGTCTGTGTGTTGGTGGAAATGGTAGCGCTGAGTGAGGAAATCCCAAGGAAGGTGCTCATTGGCCGCGCTCAGTTGGTGCAAGCTTCACATTTGGCCACACCATCTGTGACAAGTGGGCAAGGTGGCTCTATGTGTAGTCTCCTCCACCTTAGTGCCATTAGAGAAGCAATTCCAGTGTCTTCCAGCCCTGCCCTTTCCGCTCTCCTGAGCAGAGCAAGCTAGACATCTTCTTATTGGCAAAGTCTCATCTCGGAAGCCTCCAGCAGCCCCAGAATATTTCCCAGGCCCAGACTCCACCCAACACAGAGAATTTCCCTTTGAGTTTAGGCTCCAACTAAGGCTTGATTTTGGATCCTTCATGAATGTGGGATGTTGACCACATGGTCCTTGTTTCTGGATTTTTCTGGCATTGTTTCTTCCTGTTGGTTCATCCCTTAGTTGACCAGCTTTGCTATACATTTAGATTCAACGTTAAAGGCAGGGTTCTCTAACCTGTGTTCAAAATCATTGGCTTAACTAAGGACAGATGTTGACTTCCAAGGAAAGAATTTTCTTTTCTTTTTTAAAGCTGCTTCTTAGTTTCTGTCCAGTTTCTTTTCATTTTGCTTCAGTGTCTACAGAGAACAGCGTAAGCTCCCTCAGTGGTTGTTCTCGTCCATCCATTGGCCTGGGACATAGAAGCTGAAGCCTAGGCTTTGGTGGGGGGCTGGGTCCTCTGACTTGGGAGCCACTGGGTAGGTACAGTGAGCATTTTCTCAACTGCAGACCACTCTTCCACCTTAGGCTGTGCCAAGTACCCTCAGGAACTCATGTGGTCCACTTGCCCTGAAATTCCTCCTTGGTCATGGCAAACATCTCAGCAGCAGTTTACCATTTTTAAACCTCTTCATTATCTCCATAGATGCGTGTGTGTGTGTGTGTGTGTGTGTGTGTGTGTGTGTGTGTGCAGAACTTCTCAGATCAGCATCCACCACATCAGAGTCACACAGTGAGATCTCTTGCTTATGTGGTGTGGTGTTACTCAGAGCAGTGGCACGCAGGTTGATACAGAAGCCTCTGGGAGAAGCAGGCGTCAGTTCTGGTGCTGGTTTCTGCAGGAAGGTGTAGCTCCTAGAAGACCGTCTGTGTTATTGGGGAGGTTCCGGGAGTGAATCGACCAGCAATTAGAGTGGCTTCAGTAGCAGTGACAAATTTCAGCATGGTCCACTGCCAGAATTCCTGGAAGGTGTGACACTGACCTCAGCAGGTTCTTAATTACGGCGTCTTAGGCTGGCAACAGCAGCTTCTCCCAGGTCCTCCTCAGATGTATGATGGAGATACTGTCACTTTTCCTTCTTTACGTGGACTCTTCCACCTGGAAGCCAAGGTTGGTGCCACCTATGGTGGCTGGGGCAGCAAGGAATGTGAGGACATCTTCTCGCTTCACTAACAGAGCATCTGCACAAACGTCAACATCTCCCTTCAAAGTTAGGATGTCAACAGGGAAGGGAAGTACCCCTACCACATTTCTCTCCCGGCTTCCTGCGCTCTGTCTTTTCAAACCCACTGAGTCCACACTGGGCGGCCGATATGTGCATGGGTTTAGGACCACCTCCTGGAGGCTGAGTAGCTTCTCGTGTCCCATGTACTTGAAGAAAGCTGACTCTCCCTCTGCTAGCAGTCACCTGGGGCGTTGTGACCCTCTGCCCGGCTCCGTGCTGGGGTTTTGTCTGCCTTGCTCCTGCACATGTTTTGTGCATGCTGTCATAACTGCTGTGAGTTCACGGGTAACACTGCCAGACTGTGTCCAGAAAACATGGTTTCACTGTCGTAATCCACTGCCTTTGACTTGCTATCTCCCTCCTCTGCTCCCATGATGATCCCTATGCCTGAAGAGGAAGGGCTATGATATGGACATCCCACTTAGGGCTGGTCACTCCAAGTCTTATTCTCTATATAGGTTTCTGCCAAAAGAAACTCCCTGATAAGGGTTGAGAGATGCACTCGGGCACAGTGATAAGTCATTAGCAGTCAGTTTAATGCTATGTCTACTTAAGAGAGGAAGAGCAGTAGGTTCTCCCTTCAGGCCTGAGACCTATTGAGCAGTGGGTTCTTTTACATGCGTCATGACTTTCTTTTTGGTGCCACTTTTCTCTGAGTGGGCATGGAGGCAATGAAATAAAATTGTGGTGCAGATGATCCAAGGCAGCAAGGCAAGTGACTTAGGTGACCTCCAGCAGCGTCATGTGCTTTTAGTTTTACTGGGATGGGTTTACTTTTCTAAATGCACTTGGTTTTCTTTGAAACAACTCTACTCCATCTATAAGCACTTTATACCCTTAAACTATAGAAGGGGAATTCCATTCATGTTGTGTTCAGAGGGATATCGGTTAGGGTAGGGCTGGTGATGCTACAGTGAGAAACAATCCCCCCATCTCTGTGTGCTTCTCTGAACTCTCAGCAAAATCCCTGCTGGTGTCAGCAAGGGACTCTGTGCTTCGTATTACACAGGGACCTAGATCTATGCAATCTCCGTCTCAATGTGTGTTTCCATGACTGCAGAAGCAGGACAGAGACGGTGAGTCACTCACGGGATTTTAAAGTGATTGTCCAGAAGTGCCTCTACCTCTTGCATTAAGTCCTATGACCTTGTGCTCTCTACCACGTGACTAAGACAAGAGGACCAAACATTTGAGCAAAGGCTGAATGATAGCTGCAGGAATACAGACTATGCAATAGTTACCCTTGAAAGCAAGATTTCAGCCTTGTAGAGGTTCCGACATGGGCAGCGTCTGAAGAGGAGTGAGCCATGACGAGGCCTCTTTCTTGTCTGGCAGGTGCAGTACAAGAGCCTGGTGCCCCACATCAGATCCTGTGGACTCACCTCTCACTCAGCTGCAGCTCCAGGGGGCAGGTCCAGCTGAGCTGGGACACACGCTGTCCTCACACCATCTCAAGTGTACACCGAATTGCAGCCCATGCCTTCCCCAGAAAGGATTTGCTCAACCAATCAGCCAGGTGCAGGCCAACAACACAAGGCTTCACTGTCCCTGGTCGGTGCTCCTCCAGTGGGGTGGGGAGCCAGCAGACAGCCTAGCCTCTCAGTCTGCAGATGGTTCCCCAAGTTCCTGGAGGCACAGCAGACCTGCACCTCCTCCTCTGTCTTCATGATGAATCCTTCCACTGGCCTTTTCTCCTTCCCTGATCCCTTCCTTATGACTTTTTATCTTCTTTGGGATCATTTCCAAATAAATGACCTGCATTCCAGTTTTGTTTTTTCAATATCTAAATCAGGGAGAATCTGCTCAAAGGCATGTAGTATTCAGAGAAAAGAGATTGCAGAGATCTGTTCAACAATATAGGGAATGGGCCTAAGGTATCCTTGGAGGCAGAGTGCTTGCCTAGTATATGTGAGGCCCTGGATTCAATCCTCAACTGAAGAAGCATTGCAAAAACAACAATAACAACACGAACAAAACAACACACACACACACACACACACACACACACACACACACACAAGAAAGAAAGAAAAGACAGCAGGATTAACAGGACCGTTTACATTCTCTGTTGCTGTATAGACCTCTGAAGAGTGTGTTGGCACACACCTTTAATCCCAGGATTCAACAGGCAGGGGCAGGGGGGCCTCTGTAAGTCTGAGACCATCCTGGTTTACATTGCAAGTTCCAGGATGAGAGAGAGAGAGAGAGAGAGAGAGAGAGAGAGAGAGAGAGAGAGAGAGAGAGACCCTGTCTCAACAACAACAACAAACCCTTGACTGTGCAAAAGGGGTCAGGGTCAGAATTTGGGTAAAGAAAGAGCAGGATAGCTCTGTAGGAGGAAGCTGGAGAAAGCGACTTTTTGCTCTAAAAAGAAAAGGCCGAGAGAGAGCTGGGAGGAGCCTGCACTGTGGGAATGAGCCAGGCCCTTTAATAGATGTCCTCACTCTTCCTCCTCCTCCTCTTCTTCGAAGTCATTCTTTCATAATTTCATAATATAAAGTTTTCTGGTCATATTCATTCCTCATTACTCTTTACCTTCTTTCTGTTCCCAGGAACCCCTTTTCCCAACATGTTTGCCTCTTATGTTCACCTGTTTTTTGTGACCCACTGCATGGAATTAAGCCTAATGCTGATTTGAGTTGCTCATCATGGCAGGAACCTCTCTCTGCCTCCTTTCCAAATACCAGGAAAGCTCTACCCAGGTAAATGTCTTGTGCTCATGCTAGGTCTGAAATTGCTGCAAATCTCAGCCTGAGTCTTAAGCTCAGGAAACTGCTGTGGAGATGGTAGGCTTGGGACTGGGTGGGTTCTCCAAACAGAACCACTTCAGAGGACTTGGGGTTCAGGGACGAGGAGTGGCAGAAATTTTAAGAATCTCAAGCCTTGCCCAAATCTACAGAGAAAGAGCTCCAATCAACTTAACCCATAATGTAAGGGAAGGAGGAACCCCAAACTGATGTCTCAGTCACCAAACACATGCCCCAAAGAACTGTGAGCCTGTTTTAGTGGCTAAATAAATGAAGCTTAAAGCTGTCACATAAACATGATGCTTGTTTGTTTCACCTTATTTTGCCAAGGGGGTTGGGTTTGTAGCTCAGCTGTAGAACACTTGCTCTAGCCTGTGCAGAGCCTTGGGTTCCTCAGCATCACTTAATTAGTGCAGTTTTGCTGAGTGCTAGGTTAAGACTATAAAAACATTTGCTTCCTGACCCCTGCCCTCAAAGAAGATGCAACCGGCCACAGCAAAGCTAAAGGCACACTCTGGCTTGCTTACATTGTGAGGTGGCAACCTCACAGCTTGCTGCCTCTAGCTTTCCCTGCATTTGAGAATCAGATGCTGAGGCATAACTTTTTTTCAAAGCCCAGCATGAGTTCCTGCAACTCCCACGTGACTGAAGAAGTTGGTAGTTTTTAATCACTGCAGTGGATTCAACTACTTGCTGATGTGGCCATTCTTGGCTTAATGTGATTCATCAGCCTGCAATTACAGATATTCCAGAAGTTGGGAGGGATGGGAGCTGATTCTGGGATGCTGGTGAATCCCAGGCAGCTGTGTAAACTATCTCAACAGCAGCTTCTTTCTAGTCTGTCTGTCAGTATGTTGCATATCTGCCTGTTGGCCGCTGGAACCAAGTGAGGAGACTGCAGGAACAGCTATGATTCCAACAAGACATTTAAAAGGAAAGGAGAGATACCATTTCTTCCAGCTAAGCTGCCATTTCAAGTCTTTCTCTTCCTCACATTTAAGAGATTTTGGTCACTGCTGCTTCTCCAAGCTTCTAGTTCCTTCTGTCAAATACAATGTTCATTCTTCAAGGCCCCAAACAAGTTCTCTCTTAGGAGTCCCCCTTCTCTTGTCCTCTGGCTCTTATAACTTGCTGTGTGTATGTAGGACATTACTTCCATCCAAGTCAATGTTCTTTAGAACATTTATCCTAAAAGGAGTTAATAGATGCCATTGAAAAAGCCATCTCATTGTCACATAGCTGTATCCTGGAAGTACCAGGCTTAACCAAGTTAAATGGGTTTCTTTGAGACAAGATGACTCAGAGCATTTAATGCACTCATAGAATTATATTCTGACTGGCCATATGATTTATGAACCAACTGATGATGTTTAGAGATGTAGAGTACTATTAGTGATGAGGCAGAATGATAATGGGTGCAACTGGGCCCATCCCACCATCTAGGGCATATATGATCAACTGAATTCAAATCTCTACAAGGACTGTTTCCCAGACTTCTCAGACCAAGGGACACTTTGTCAAGGAGCATGTCCCAGGTGTGGCCCACACTTTAGAAAGTGCTAGTTGTTCTGTGAGCCAATCCATAGACAAGCACCTCATGAGCAGAGTCTGGGCTGTCTTCGTGACTGTTTCCCTGACACCTAAGGCAGTTCACTGCAGTAGAAAAATAAAGGGAGGCAGAAAAATTATTCTCTTTTGCTTAGGCATTTCCGGAAAGAAGTTGAAGAATCTTGATACATATTTTAAATGGGTTTCTACAGAGAAACAGAACCATCATTTGCGTGTGTGTGTGTGTGTGTGTGTGTGTGTGTGTGTGTGTGTGTATCCATGATCAAAAATATTTTTTTTTTAACATTTCATCTTGGGTTGGGGAGATGACTCAGGATGTAAACTGAATGCATGCAAGCATGAGAACCCAAGTTCAAATCCCCAGTACGTATGTATGTAAATGCTAGGCATAATCACATGGAACTGTAACCTTAGTGTTACAGGTGGGGTAGGCGAGGACACACAGACCCCCAGAGCTCAGTGACTAGCTAGTGTAGGCAGTTGGTGAACTTCACATTCAGTGAGAGAAAGATAAGTTGGAATATATTAGTATAAATATTCAGACCTCATGAGAGAAGTTTCTTTATGTAGTAGATAGTAGTTAATGTAAAAATTCACAACCTGTCCAAGTACAGAAAATCCATCTGTGGTGTGCTTATCCAGAGATGGGACATCCACATCATAAGCCCTCCTCCAAAGACTTGAGAACTGTTATGGAAGAGGGGGCAGAACAGCTGTAAGAACCAGAGGACTGAAGTGAAACAGTGCCCCCTGAGCATGATAGGGCCACTTTCCTCCTGAACTCACAGCAGCTGTGTTTGCCTGCACAAGGTCAAGTCAGTCAACATTCTAGAGCAGAAGGGGAGGAGTTCGTGAACCTTCACTTACAGCTGAAAAGCTATCGATAGCTTCTGGTGGGAAAGAGGGGATCAGCTTTCTTTAAGGGTGTGGCCCCTGGTAGGTTGACCAAGCTCCAGTGAAGGCCCCCTCAACCGCGAGTATATGGGCAGCACAAACCGAACTCCTCTGTGGGTTAAAACAAAAGGAGGACATGAAGTAGAGAGGGGCAAGGAAGTGGAGGACAGACCTGGGAGGAGTTAGGGGAGGAGTAAGGCATGAATCAAACATATTTTATGATCAAAACATTTTATGCATGTATGAAATTCTCAAAGAATTCATGAAATATTATATTTGAAAAGGTAAGGTGGAGAATGATAGTGGAAGGCACCCAGCTCAACCTCTGGCACACACATGCACTTGCATACACGTATCCACATGCATGCAAACACAAATCTTTACTGAATATTCAGGAATTTTTTTTTGTCATCACTCCCCTGAAGTACAGTATAGCAGCTGTCTACACTGCCTTGACATTGCATTAGGGCATTATAAGGCATCTAGAGAGGAAACCAGAATGGCTTAAAGCATACAAGAAGGTACGTGTTGGTTATGTGCAAATAATATGCTTTGTGCTTAAAGAACGTGAACATCCGTAGATCTGGGTATCCATAGGGTTTCTAGAGGCAATTTCTTATAGATATAATTAGGGAAGAGGAAGAGAGGAAGAGGAGAGACAGAGTTTTTTGAGTGCTATTTTAAGAACTGGCTCATGGATTGGCAAGGTTTGACAAGTGTAGTAGGCAGGTGGACCAGCAGGCTGGAGATGTGGGGGAGAGCTACAGTCTCAGTCTAGAGACTGGTTCTGCTAGCAGATTCCTGCTTGCTTGCAGGAAAGCCAGGCCTATCTTCCACTCAGACCTTCAAAACTGATTGGATGAGACTCATCCACTTTATGGAAAAGTCAAGTGCTTTCAAGTCAACCAATTTGCATGTTAATCTCATGTAAAAACACCCTCCCGGAAACGTCCAGAATGTGTGACACGTTTCTGGCCACTGTGGCCCATCCAAGTTGACATATCAAATCGAATACCGCAATACATACCAAAGGCTTTCTTACTTTTGATTGGGGGTATGTTTGTAACCGAAAACTCCGCTCTTGCCTCCAGAGAGTCAAACAGGGTTGAGCACATGTGATGGGCTAGGCTGAGGCCAAAGGGTTCAAACCGAGTGAGATCTTTTGACTAAAGTGGAGATACATGAGTGACAGGAATGGGAGGTGCTGTGGTCTGACATTCAGTGGAGTCAAGGTGTTGACCTGAGAGTTGGTGCTCACATCCTGCTGGTCAGAATGGATCCTAGAGTTCCCCAGTGAACTTGAGAAAGAGAGGCTCTGGAGAAGAGTAGGTGGGCCAGAAGGATGTAAGGCCTTTTCCAGCAGGGACGCCAATGGCTGCAATGTGAGTTTTGTGGTTGCTTGTGATTGTCTCAGGTTTTTGTCTTTAATATTTGTCTATGAGTTTTACTACTTAATAAGTTGTAAAAGTAATCACATTATCTGGCACTCAATATGAGGCACCATTTGTAGGCCGAGATTTTTGTAGGGATTGCCAGCCAGCTCCCCAAATAACCA